TTCACTTGAAGAATGTCGAGAAGCTATGAAAAACCAGCGAATCACCTGTTGCATTCCACGCTCAATCATAGCATATCATTGTAGTATATAATTACAGACTGCTTGATAATCTAATCGGCACAGTATTTAATTTAAATGTTTAAAGTTTCTTAATTACCAAGGAACTGACGTAGGTACTTAATAACTACGTTCCATAACGTCCGGTAGATGTGAAATATGTACTTGAACTTGAGTTGAATCGAAAGTAGGATATGCTGTAACCAGTTTCTGACCGCTGCTCAATCGTACGTGATTTCCTTCAGACGCGAAACACGCAAGCCTTGAAGTAGAAAGCAACGGCGGACATCGAATGACCTGCTCAGTTTCAGGAAATCAGCCAAGAACGGCGTATAAAGTTCAGGTAGAAGAGGGTGGAGTCGAGGAGTCGATCTGCAGGGGCAAAATGCAAGAAATTATGTTTGTATGTTTCAAACAGATTGTAATATTTAAGCAGAATTCGTGAAACATGTCTTCAAAGACTAAACAAACAGAAGAGAACAAAACAGAAACGTTTTCTAAAAACTTCACAAGAAAAATAGGTGATTCGACTTCTTCTACAAACATATAATCTTAATTTTCCTTTACTATTTCATACGTCACATGTCCGAACATTTTCCAATGTACACTACTTCAAATTAAAATTATTCCTCTACAGAAATTATTAAGATTCTAAGATAATATTATAATGGATCTCAAAGAAATATGATTTAAGAATACGAACTGGTTTCAACTGACTCCGGATAGGTTCAGTGGCTGGATCTTCTGAAAAGTTATTGAAACTTAGGGTTCCATAAAAGAAACAACGGATTTCTTGATCAGCTGAACAACTATAAGCTTGAGATGATATGATAAAGTTGCGTCATATTGTGATAAATATATATTTGTTTAAATCTTGTCAGTCAAATCACAATAAAATTCCTATTAAATATTAAAATATTACTAAAATTAACATTTAAATATTTAAAATGA